GCCAGTTATTTCATTATGAATATCTTTGTGATTTAATTTATTTAGTGTAATCTTTTTAATATTTTTTAAAGTTTTCATTATTTTGAGATAAGACTAGCAACACATCCAACCTTTTCTTACATTCCTTAATTTCAGCATTGTTTCTGAAATATTCATTTATTTTTGTTTCACCAGTTGACGGGGAAAACAAGCATTAAAGATTATTTTATATCTGTTTAAGAAGCATGTATATTGTTTATTTACATCTTTATTGTCGCATTCATATACTTCCTACCATTGCTCATCAGTCAAGTGTTCCAAAAAGTGGCACTTACTTTCATCACTGAAAAATCTCTTATAATGTTTTTTTTTCTTTGAGATATTCTACCTTAAAACAATTTTCTGTAATGTGTGATCAGAAATGCCAACATTTACAACACTTGCCTAATAAAACCCATCATAATTGGTAAGAATATTGTCAATAAAACTTTTTTTATTTTGGGTAATTCTAGTATATTGATTAATGGTTTTATATAGACCATATGAAGCTAAAAGTGATGTTAGATTTGAATTATGTTCATTTTTAACAGTGTCTTTCATATAGATGTTAAAATCTCCTGCAATAAAAATTAATTTATGCTCTTCAAAAATTTTTTGTAATAATTTTTCTAATTTATCCAAAAACATGTCCTTTGAGCCATCGCATGGTCTATATAATGTAACTACAATAATTGGTTTATTATTTAAAGTGAATTCAGCTGCTGCACATTCAAAAACATTTACTTTGAAAAGTTTATTTATTTCTGCTCTCACCTTGAATTTGATTTCTGACCTTGCAAATATTGCTACACCCCCATTGTCCCTCCTTTTGACAGAAACTTGTGACTATTCTAAAGTTTTTTATTCCAAGCTTGCCTATTTGATCTTCTGACTTCCAATGCTCCGATATACAAAGAAACTTGCAATCTGGGTTTTCTTCCAACATAGCTTTCAGCTCACCAAAACAGTTGCCTATGGATTGGGCATTTTGATGTATAAGACCCTTATTTTTTGCTATTTTATTTGATGCTCTTTTTACTATTTTATTTTGTAATTGCTATTGTTTATATACTTCATAGTTTGTATTGTTTATCACACTTTTATTGGCCTTTCTCTCTAACTGATCGCCTTAGTTCTGTATCTTGATTATTTTATCTATTAGATTTCGTTCAATCGAACTTCATTAACATTTTCTAAATTATTTTCCAAATCAAGACCAATACAAGATGCACTTTTTTCAATAATATCGACATGTCTGGTCACAACTATTTTGTTATTTATTAGAACCCTATAGCCAACATTTTCATAACCCAACAGAATATCTAAATCTGCTCTATTATATTTTGCTGCTGTCCCATTTAATTCGTGAACATATGAAGGACAAGGTTCAATATAAATTCCGTTTTCAATAGCAAACTTATTTACTTTAATAAATATGTATTCTTTACCATTTGATAATTTCTTTATTCACCATTTAGACCAGTGGTACATACCACTGGTCCATTTAAATCTGTGTGGACAATTTAAAAAATTTCTTTAGCTCTAGTTCTATCATTCTTAAATGATAAATTTTGCATTTTATTTTTAAAAAATATACCACATTTAAAATAATCAGATTCTAACTCTTTAGGTAGACCTTCAAATACTTGATTATCACACATTACTTTTGAATAATTAAAATTTACATGACCCAATGTTGTATGAAATTTTTCTTCCCATAATACTTAGTTGCTACATTTACTGTACTTGTCATACGTAATACATCATTATTCTTAATTGCTATTCCGATTACATTTCCCTCTGTAGTATATATTTTAGAAGTATTTCCTATAGAGAGAATTTTATTTTTAGACGCAACTTTACCAAAATTAATGAGATTTTTGTCCATTTCCTTCACACACAAAATATTTGACATTTTATTTTTAACCTTTTGTCCATAGACAAATTCTTGCAAAATATTACCTATCTTAGTAGCTATACGACCATCTGCAATTTTTACATTTATGGGTGTTTTAAGAACAATATGTTTATAGAAATATTCCTCATTATTAACAATGTGGTCAGAACACCCACTATCTAGTAACCATTCTACTTTACCTACGCAACTAGTTACTATTGTTGCATGCAATTTGGGTTTAACCTCGATTTCCGTACAAAAACTGCTTGTATTGCCTTCTTCATTTCTTTGACCACGATGATTCTGCTGCCAACCGCCATCACAACGATGTTGACTTGAGTATTGGCTACCTCGATGGCTACTGTTACCACGGTAGTGCCAATTTTGTTGTCGCCTGTCTCCTCGCTGCTGCATGCTGCTCCTGGGTTTCCAAGAATTGCCACCCGGATTCATACTTGTACACTGGGCTTTGAAATGTCCATACTTTCCACATTTGAAACAAGTTTGTTCTTGTTTTCTTTCTGTCTTGAATAAACTTGTGCCTCATTTGCCACTTTCCTCTTTTCCTTTTAGTTCAACCATTTTAATTTTACTTTTTACGTACTCAACAGTCTGGCCATCTTTAGAGGTATCTTCAAAATCTTTTAACCTTAGTCTCTCCAATTTATGTCGTACACAGATTTGAAGTGCAGTAGATTGTTTTAAATACATTTATTTTGTATATTATTTTTATTTGAACTGTGTAAGTCGCCTGAGTTTTTATGGTCCCTTTTCCCTGTGCTCTGACTCAACGGACCACCCCTTTGTCTTCGTTTGAATTAAATCAGGGGTTTCAAATCAAATACTTGCGTTTCATTAAACCTGATCAATTTTAAAATAACGTTTTTATCATTGTACATAAATACACAACGTAGAGTAAAGTAAGTAAATTAACTAGATGATCACAAATATGCCAAAATAAGTATTTCAGTATGCTTAAAGAATCGGGTTACAAAAATACATAGTGTACCTTACAGAGTAAAATTCTGTTTACATAGAACCTTAAATAACTCTAAAGGGGTGGTCTACTGTCCAGACCTCCTTAACTGCAGCGAAGAAGAGATATTGCAATATTTAGAAGATCAAGGAAGTAGGTACTCCGTCGCCTTAGACCACCGCCCATCGGTCCGACCCTGGAAAATTTGAGGCCCAAAAGCGCCTCGAATTTTAGGGGGCCCCTTCGAATTTTAGGGTGCCCCGGGGGCCCCGCAGTCCTTTGGACGGCCCGCGCTGGAAATCATGGGGCCCCCATGATTTTAGGCCTATCTAAAAATTCAAATATCGGTCTTCTGAATAATAGATATCCAGCGACCACACCGCTGAGCTCCAGCGTTTAAACCACGAGATGACCCTGATACTTTGCGTAACATTGCATCATTTTATTGTACCTATCTATTAGATCTCCAGTGCTACCAACATAATAATAATTATTTAAAAAATAACAACGCTGTACCACAAGATGATGACTCATCGCAAAAGGTATTATCAACTTTTTAAAACAAATCTGTCTAAATTGCGTAATTGTGGTATTATTAACCTATTGTGTTATCAGAAAAAAATAAATAAATAGGTAGCAACTTTTTGAAAAATCAGGGTCAAATTGTGATGTCAGAAAATAAATATTATTTTAAGTAGGTAAATATTAATTGCAATAAAAAAAAACAAATTGATTTTCAATTTATAATGTATGAAATATAATTTACTTTTGCGGTTAATGCATTGAAAGACGAACACAGCGAGATAGGAGCACCATGGGGGCCTTGAAATACTTACGTTTAGACAGGACAGCACACAAAACAATGAAAAGTTTTGGTATGGTGACTCATCTCTGATAAGGCGTTCAAGGTCAAATTGTGGTATTGTCACCTTGAACGCCCATTTAAAGGTTACCCGAAAAACGTAAATTAATTAGGCCGAATTTAAGTTTTTATTATGTTGTTATTATCGAAACGGCGTTTAAAGGTTACCCGAAAACGTAAATTAGTTAGGTAGAATTTAATTATGGTTGTTATTATAAAAGATTCTAGTTTAAACAATGTCAGAAAATAAATATTATATTATTTTAAGTAGGTAAATATTAATTGCAATAAAAAAAATTGATTTTCAATTTATAATGTATGAAATATAATTTACTTTTGCGGTTAATGCATTGAAAGACGAACAAACAAAAAGAATTTGTAATATAAATTAAAATATTAAAATAGTATCGTATTTTTATCGCTTTTGCGGCTAATGCATTGAAAGAAGAACACTTTTAACACAGGGAGATAGCCGACCCGTGGCCTTTTTTGGTTTTCGAAATGGTCGGACCGAACGTTATCACAGGTATAAAAAGTAGCGATAACATAGAAGAAAAGGATATGCACTACAGTTGATTAATCATATCATGGGTCGAAACGAGTTTACAGCTTTTAGTTGTAATACAGAATCGAGTAAATAATACACATTTTGTTATATTTTTACAATTACAAATAAATAAAAAACTCCTATAAAAACTATTAACCTAATTATAATTGAAATTCTTAAACCCTTATCTAAAGAAAATAGTGATGACATCATTAGAGGATATTGCGTAATATTATACAATATTATTTCGTTATTATAATAAATTATAAAATTTATTTAATTAAATCAAAATATGTGTTAAAATCATACAAAGAAATAAAATCCTTAAGTGTAAAAAGAAATTGTAAATACAATAATTTAAATATATTAAATTATATAAAATTATTTTACGATAAATTGTTGTGATTTAAATAACCCTTATCAAATTAAATTTAAAACATTAAGGTTAAGAACTAAAGGAAAAGGTTACTCATTTAGCTACAAGTTTTCTTTTAAACATATTGCTTGATGTATACAAGACATAAACAAGACACATATATCGTAGATCGTGTAGATGGCGCGCATCGTGTAAACACAAACCAAAACGTGCTCCCGTTAAACATTGAAAATTATAAGTAAATAATTGTGACTTAAATAAAAAGTTTAGTGCATTAGCGAGTTAATAAAATTGTTCATCTGGTGATAATATTTGTTTTCCAAAATGAGTACTAGAAGTAACAAAGAAAAGGAAACTAAATCTCTGATTAAAGAAACGCTCGCCGAGCTCTTTACCGATGATGAATTTATTAATAAATTACTAAAAAACTTTAACGATAAGGTGGACAAAAAATTGGAAGAAATGAACCAGAAAATTAAAAACAGTGAAATTCAAATAAATATGTTGGAGCAAAAAATTGACCAACTTCAGCAAGCAGAAAAACTTAAAAATATTTGTATTTATGGCATACCCGAAGAGAATAAAGAAAATCTAAATCTCAAGATCATTGAAAATATGAAAATAGCAAAAATACAAACTAATAACGATGATATATTATCAAGCTACCGAATAGGAAAAAAAATGAAAATCTGAAAATACCACGACCAATAATCGTCAAATTTAAGTATCAAGACCAAAAATCGCAAATCATGAAAAATCTGAAAAATTTTAAAAACTCAAAAATTTTTATAGCAGAAGATCTGACTAAAACCAGAGTAGTCCTACTAAACACAGCCAAGGAAAAACTAGGAAACAAAAATGTTTGGACGAACAATGGACAAGTTTTTGGAAAAGTGGATGAAGATGTGTATAAATTTAAAAGTTTATCTCATTTATTGGAGGTTACAAAGACTCAGTAATATGTTTGTTTTTTTTTACTTTTTTTTCCAAAAAGCGAAGTGTATGTAATACGTATGATATTTCAGAAAATTTTGTTGAAAAAAATGTTTCTGCTATTAATTAATAAAAAGAGCAAAAAAAAGCCGTAAGTACTTACACATTTTGTCTATTTTCTTTTTTTTTTTGCTTATTGTTTTGTTTTTCCTTATGTATATATGTATATATTAAAATACATTTAACTACGTCAAAAATCTATAATATAGGTATCACGTTTCGTTATTTATGTTTTTACACTTGTTATTGTATCCACACTGTTTTTTTTATAATTTTATATTTTAAATAGACCGATCGAGATTGAGAATAATTTTGATTTGATCGATGGTGAGGAAATAGAAACTTTAGAATACGAAACCTATAATAGTGTTGCTGGTGAATTAAAAAAAATAAATGAATATACCTTAAATGTTATACATATAAATATTAGAAGTTTAAATAAAAACCTTGATGAACTTTTGATTTCTTTGGAAAATCTAGATGCCAATAACATAGATATAATTGTCCTGTCTGAAACTTGGATTTTACAAGGAATAAATAATTTTAACATACCAAATTTTAACATTTTATATAACGAGTCTAAGTACAACAAGAATGATGGTGTTGTAACTTATATTCGAGATAATATTATTTATGAAGAAAACATAATTAACTTAACAAATACTAAACTACTTAGAGTTACCTTCACTATAAATAAAATACCCTTTGGCCTAACAGCTTCTTATAGACCTCCATCAACAAATGAAGAACTTTATATTGCAGAATTAAGTGAATATCTTTCTAATCTTAAAACTCAAAGTACTGAAATATTTATAGGAGATATAAATATAAATTTACTGGAAAATAATGAAAATACAAATAACTATCTCTCTATGCTGGGAGAACTTGGCTTTGTCTCTTATATTAATAAATTTACCCGAGTATCTGATGAAAAAAAATCAATAATAGATCATGCCTTTATAAAAAATAGAACTAAAAATATTATAATAACCCCTTCTATAATTAAATGTGCAGTAACGGACCATTACATGATATTAATTTCTTTAACTTTTTTAAATCCGATAAAACTAATTACTCCAAAAATAACTAAAATAGAAAAAATAAATCTCATAAATTTAAAAAAAAAACCTTTAAACACGAAAATTGGGAAGAGGTTTTAATGGAAGATAACGTTGAAAAATCTTATGACACATTTATAAATAAGGTAAAGAAAAACATACAACTTAATACTGAGAACAAAATTATCACAAATAAAAAACGAAAAATTAAACTTTGAATCTCAGATGGTCTTATAAACTCAATACGACATCGCGACCTATTAAAAAAACTCGGAAAACTCGGAAAAAATCCAACCGAACAAAAACTTATCGAGTATAAACAGTATCGAAACAAATTAAATAACTTGATAAAAACAATTAAAAACAATTACTATGAAAACCAAATACGGGGGGCAAGTAAAAACTTCAAAAAAATCTGTCAAACTATTAACGATGCTTCAAACACTAATAAAAAACAAAATAAATTTAATTTTGAAATAGAAAATAGTAATAAAGTAAAATTAAAAGGTTTAAAAGATATAGCAAACTGTTTTAACGATTTTTTTGTAAACATAGGGAAACAAATGGCTTCCAAGATTAAAAATCAAAAAGACTGTCAACCCTTTTCTAAAATTAAACATTCTCTAACGCTATCACCTGTATCCGAAAATGAATTATTCTCCGTTATTAGAAAATTAAAAAATAACTCCGCCCCTGGACCAGACAACATATCTGCGCGAGTAGTTAAAGTTTGCCAAATCTATCTGATAAAACCCCTCATGCACATCATAAATCTATGTTTTTCAAACGGGTATACTCCGTCCCAATTTAAGGAATCTTTAACAATCCCCAATCTACAAATCCGGTAATAAAAAACTTCCTACTAACTATAGACCGATTACACTTATCAACAATTTTACAAAAATTTATGAACAATGCCTTAAGTCTCGTTTAGTTAACTATTTAGTTGAGCATGATATTTTGAGTAAAAACCAGTTTGGCTTTCAAAAAAATATAAGCACCGAGGACGCCATTATGGAACTTTTGAATTTCGTTGTATTTGCAAATAATAAAAAAAAGAAATGCCTTGCGCTATTTCTAGATCTAGCCAAGGCTTTCGATACAGTTAATTTTGAAATTCTTCTAAGCAGGTTGGAAGGAATTGGAATTCGCGGCTCGGTGCTGAACATTTTCAGGAGCTATCTCTCGGGAAGACTACAGACTGTCAGAGTAGGCAATGAAAAAAGTGATCCCCTTCCTGTCACCATGGGAGTGCCACAGGGGACAGTTTTGGGTCCATTATTGTTTTTGATCTATATTAATCACTTGGGTAATTTAAACATTAATGGTAAAATAATTTCTTATGCTGACGACACTGTGGTTCTTTTCGAGGGTGACTCCTGGGAAGAAGTTTTTGAGAAGGCCAAACTGGGGGTGCAAAGAGTATACGCATGGCTAAATGAAAGTCTCCTTAGTTTAAACATATCTAAAACACAATTTATAACTTTCTCTCCCACAATTGTTGGTCAGCCTGCTTTAGAAACATTCAAAATACACGAACACAGTTGTAAAAGTTTTGTCACTTGCGATTGTGATGCTGTTCAAAAAGCCAAAGCGGTCAAATACCTTGGTTTAATGGTTGACCAACACCTAAATTGGGATGAGCATATTTTCACCCTTGTAAAAAAACTAAGAATTTTAATTTTTAAATTTTATCAAATAAAAAACTTTCTAAATAAAAAAAATCTTATTATTGTCTATAACTCTTTAGTCGAATTAATTCTAAGATATGGAATAGTTGCATGGGGGGGTTGTTACGAAAATTCTATAAACTCTGTAGAAAAACTTCAAAATAAAATTCTGAAAATCATATTTAAAAAATCAAGATAATTTTCCACTAATATGTTATATAATGAATCCAATTTGCCAAAAGTTCGTTTAATTTATATTATACAGTGCATATTTTGGGTAAACAAAAACAATAAGAAAACTGAAATAGTCCCCTCCCAGCATAACAACAGATCTACTGAAAAAAATGTATATCCTATTCCTCTTTTTAAAAATAATTTTACGCAAAGGACTGCATTTTATTTTGCGCCAAAATTTCATAACATGTTACCTAAAGAAATAAGTCACCTGAGTTCTTCAAATAAGTTAAAAAAGTTTAAGGTAGAATCCAAGCGTTACGTAACTTTGTATCAAGAAGACTTTTTAAAAATGATATCCCAAAAAAAAGTATAACAAATTTCTGGACTTTTTTGGTTTTTTGAATTTTTTATTTATTTTTATTATTATTATTTTGTTTTGTTTTTCTTTTGTTTCTGTTTCCTCAGCGTTATGTAGCAGGGTTTTTCTCCTCTAAATCTGACTGTTAAATAAATGTTATTTTTTGATTATTATTGTTGTAACAAATAGCTTTTTTGATTTTTTTACTCAATGCCAATGAAACAGTTAAATTATTGTTATAATTTTTATTATCATTATTATTTTTTTTTAGACTGTAAATTACAAAATATACATTTATCCTAAGATTGTGAAATCACACACAAGCACTGCTTAGGTGATTCACAAAAAAATTTAAATGTAAATAGGTATAGGGCTATTAATTAATCTGCAACTTCTTGGGCTTATCTTATTTTTATTATTTTGTATTTATAGGTTAACTATGTAATTTTTGTAGAAGAGAAATAAATTATTTGATTTGATTTGATTTGATAAGACATGTACAAGACACTTATAAGGCATGTACAATACACATATAAGACATGTGCAAGATACAAGATATACACCACGTGTACAAGACATGTACAAGACATGTACACCACATGTACAAGACAGGTACACCACATGTACAAGACATGTATACCACATGTACAGCACATGTACAGCACATGTACACGACATGTACAGCACATGTACACCACATGTACAGCACATGTACACGACATGTACAGCACATGTACATCAGTTTAAATAGGACTACATAAGGCTCTTACATCCATGTCGTGTAAACAACGTATTTCTGAACTTGGCAAAGCTGTTAGACAAAAGTATAATGACTTGAAGAGAATGGAAGATGATAATAAAAACCGACTGGAAAACGTGTTCAGGCCTATTACAGAACCGCTGAAACAAATTGTAAAATCGTCCAATGAAAAACACTCTGATCATCAAGACCAAGCTGCTGTAGCCGTACCTGCTACACAATACACGGAAAGACCAAATGGTGTAAGCATATACTTCTGCAATAACACAGATACTGCTTATGGCCCTAAATTAAAAAATGGTCTGTGGTTGCTGGGTAATACACCTCTAAATTTTGATGATAACCATATAGTTGTGGACGAGAAAAAATTTAATAGTAGTGAAGGTCTACGACAACTGCTATTTTGTAAAAATCCCGGAAGTTTTAGTGTGAATGATGCGCAAATATACAAACAGATATTACAGATGACAGGGGTTCACAGAGATTCTGTGGGCCGTTTGAGGGCTAAAGCGTGTAAAGAAAAATTTAATACAGTCATTAAACCTCCATTTAAAAAGGAACGTGGAAGGTTTGGAAACATTACGTCAAGAAAGCAGGGCCTACATTCTACTACTAAAAACAATAGTGAATCCCATGAAAATATCAAAAACATTACTACACCTAGATACAATATTCTT